AAAATAGAAAAGGCTATTCATAGAGATATTCTGTAAATTGGCAATTTAAAGGTTCTCTGCTGATATTAATTAATTCGGAATAATTTTTAACGTGAAGATATTATTGCAAATGATAAACAATAAAATCAGGAAGACTTTATTTATCGAAATATTCAATAAATTTGCAATGTAAAAAGATTTAATACTTATGTGTAATAATTAGAGGTTTCAGTTTTCGAAAATTGGGAATAAAGCAAACAAAAATTAAAAATATAGCAATAAAATTGTATTGAAGGAATATGGTTTAGTTTTTCATTTTTTAACTTTTTCTGTTCTTTTTTTGTTTAATTTGGTAACGATTAAGTAAATATTTATTTTGATTAATTAGTTAATCTCTTCTAAAACGCTTATTTTAACTAATTGCTTCTTATTAAATCTCATTAAAATTTATTGGAAGCATGCTAATTTATGGATATGGATATAATTAAATCTACTTTTATTCTATTTTGAATTCATAATAATTTCATAAAAAAATTTAATTACAAAAACCATTGTTGCAACCGTTCGCGAAATATCCATATTTTCTACTATTTTTCTTCACGATAGCATAGCGAGATTGTTCCCACGGTACGTCGACAACATGCAACTCAATTTCTCTGAGAATGCGATCGATTCCACGCTTTATTCGTACTCTACTCAGGGACAAGAGAAGGCGCCGATGAGTGAAGTAGCGTGAAAATATTTAATCTCGATGCAGTTTGCATGCGAATAAATGTGTAGGAGCTATCATGGTTAGCAATGCAAATAAAATAATAATTAAGTAAAAAAATTTTACTCAATGTTAATTATTCATAATACTTCCAAGGACTAATTTGCTTAGCATTATAATAACTTCAAAACAATGACGCTTGTCTTATTTTAATAATTAACAAGTAAAATATGTAAAAAGAGTTATCCTTCAAATTTCAATCAAACTTTTAAAGTTTTGTAATTTTTAAAAATTAATAATCTTTAAAAAATAAGTTTTCAGTGTTATCGTTAATTCTACAATATACTGTGTTATTAAATCCCTTGCTACTGATACATGTGTACAAGTTGCATGTACAATTCACACACATACATATATATATATATATATATATATATATATATATATGTATATATGTAAAATATATGTAAAAGTATATGTGCAAAATATCTCTATACAAAATATTTATGCAGAAAAGAATAATTAATATGATATGCTAAAGTCGCATTCAACAAGAAAAAAAAGTATTATAATATCCTCATAGTTCTCATAGCATTGTTTGTGATGATACATATATATATTTTTTTTCTGCATAAATATTTTGTATAGAGATATTTTGCACATATACTTTTACATATATTGTTGCAAATTGATAAAAAAATTACCAATGTTTTTCAATTACTTAAAAATTAAGCAAATAAAAAAATTATCGTAATGTCTTTATATATGCAGTAAAAAAATTCTGTTGTGATAATTCTATGTATATACCTTGTGTTTTTTATTTTCGTCAATTATTTTTTTACAAAAATTTTTTAATCAATTTAAAATCTATTTTTAACAAAAATGTTAGACAAATTATTTATTGCAGTTCTCCAGAGAATCTATAATATCTTGTAAAATGTAAGTTTTAAATTATTTCTTTAAAATAATTTATATACTTTTTTAAAATAAATTATATCTAAAATAAGATAGACAATAGTTTGACAAGTTATTTGACTGTGTAAATTGCGTGCACGTTTATATGTAACATACTTGATCAATTTAAAATCGAACCATTAAATATGTTTATATATATATATATATATATATATATATATATATTTTTTTTTTATTTTTTTTTAAAGAAAATCTATTGTTAAAAGATATTTCCGAGGAAAAGAGAAAACTCAAAAATAATCAGAATTATTTTAAAAACTATTTGATTAAATTTTATATTAACTTGAAAAACTCTCGTCTTCTTTAAAGTGTTCTCCTCTTGATTCACACGTCCCAATGTTTTTTCCACTGCTGCAAATATTTCTAAAAACTTTTTCGTTCGAGTCATGTTTTATATGAAAGAATGAAAGAAAAGTCACATGGAGCGAAGTCAAGTGAATAGAGTGGATGAGGAACCGTTATGTTTCTCAAAAATTTTTTAAACAAACCATCTTTTCATAAAAACAGCTTAACAGTTGTTTCTAATCATTCAATCTCGTTCCAAATAATATAATTTTTGGTTCTCTCGTATGAAACATGACCTAAAAGGAAAACGTTTTCCAGAAATGTTTCCGCAGCAATGGAAATAACGTTGGAACAGATATTGTATCAAGAAGACAATACTTTAAAGATGACTAGAGTTTCAAATTAGTAAAACTTAATAAAACATTTTTAAAAATAATTTTAGTTGTTTTTAGACCCTCCTTCATATACATATATATATATATATATATATATATATATATATATATAATATATATATATATATATATATATATATATATATATATATTTCAATCTCTCCTCTTTTATTTCATTTAAATAATACTTTAAAATATAAAATATATAATCATAAATACACCTACATTTCCATAAATTATAAGTTCGCGTAAACACAATGCTATACAACTATAAATACAATAAATTTAGTATCATAAATGGATTCCTTACAATCGTATATAAATGAGAATAACAAAAAATGCGTTCACCCTTACCTCGTCCTATACAAACCCCATAAAACGTAAATTGATCTTGAGAATTCATATAATAAATATATGAAAGAGACGAGATATAGGTTTACCGGGGTGTATACATATATCTGTAACGATACGCGAATTTTACAACTTTAATCGTATGTCGCACTCGAGCATACACGGGAAAGCACGTAACACGTCGAAAGACGATGCGTACACGGTCCACGTCTAGACCAGACTGAAGCGCGAGTACTTTCAACGAATGCGAAGCCTTCCATACTACCTGCCTGCGGAGTCACGAACGGATCCGTTCTTTTCATTCCATTCGGAAAGTTACGGACGGATCCTCTATGCTGAACTGGCAGAAATTTAAATCTGAGACACAATCAAGTATAAGAATAGAATCGTAATTGCTTCCCTTTCTCTCCCACATCGGCATGAGACAATGTCACTTTTTTGTGATGTTAGATATTATATATTGTTATATTATATTATCATGTTTATATGATAAAATCATGAATGTATACTTCTTGTATGTGAATATACAATTTTGGTATATTGTTTGGTATTAAGATAGTGCTATATCAAGTATAGATGTATTTTTGTATAATAAAAAGAGAAAAGCAAAATAATGATTAAACTATTATTATTGAAAGCTTTTATTTATATTTTTGATACTAAAAAAATATTTGAACAGTGGCTTAATAAAAATTATTAGCAATAAGCTGTACGTTTCTTTTAGAAAGATAAAATATATTTAGTATTTGATTAAACTTAATGTCAAAAAATTAGGCAATTTTGCGAAAACTGAAATATATATTTTTATTTTTATTTTTTTGTATTACACGTGCAGGCAAAGTGGCACTTTGTGTGCGTGTTTTCTGTGCGAAAAGCGGCCGATTTCCCACGCCGCCATCTTGCGGCGTGCGATCGGCCACCTCGCGCACAGAAAACGCGCACAAAGCCACTTTGCCTGCACTTGTAATACAAAATAGTATGTGTATCACGTGCGGATTGACAATTGTTCACTCGTGTGGGGTGGTCGCACTCGCCTTCGGCTCGTGCGTCCATCCCCCGCACTCGTGACCAATTGTCAACTTTCCGCACTTGATACACAATATACTATTATATCTCAGTTTATAAAGCCGTTGCCGGAGAAAGAGATGTTTTACGCTTTTACCGTAGACTCTGCACTACCGTTAGCTCGATTAAGCGGCGATAAAGTGAGAAAGGGTGGCAATTATATTATACGGCATGTAACTACAACCTTTTAGCTGCGACCGTTTGCATGGCCTTTAAGTTCCTTTGAGATGACGAAGACATGCAATGCACAATGCGAGCCCGCGAAGCATGTCTCGCGATGTGACCCGATACATTAACCTGGTGATATCGCGCTATCCGAACACCTTCGACTAAAAGCAAACCATCAAGATACACACTCGTCAAGAGTGTCTACTCATCGGTTTCGGTGATTTGTAATTGCTTCTTTGAATCGCCTCTTTATACGCCTTGATGAAAGTAAAAATTGTTGTTTAAAAAATACCAATCGTATTATCAACACAATTTTTGAAACGTATTCAAACATTCAAGATGTTTTGAATGATTTATCAATCTAAATCGAGTTCCGATTTTTGGGATAAAAAATTATTTTTAACTTTGTGTAACTTGCGGAAATTTCGACAAATCAAACATTCTTGATTAAAAAATTAATGAATATATCAAAGAATTATCCATTGATTGTATAGAACAATTTTAACTAAAAAAAGTTTTTTTAACAGAAAAAGATATCTGTGATTTAGAAAAAATTTTACCTTGTGTAAAAGGATAATATTATACATAAATTAAAGAGATAGGAATAAGTGTATATATACATATATGTATATATATATAAATCAGACATTGATTTTAATTTTAAATAAGTACCTACGGTAAAATACTTCTAGGAGTATATATGCTGTGTAAACTTACACCGGAAGTCGCACGATATGATAATCGCGTGCACTGGTACGGTCTCCAGGGTGAACCGTTGGATTGTTCGCACGACGGCATACTGCCATCGTTTGTATTTGAGAGCAAAAAAAAGACAACACAGAATTCAGAGCAAAACATGTCGTAAGAACGGCGAAATAAAGGCAAGCATTGAAATTATTTGTTCAGTTCAAGATGCGTAAATCAACGACAAGCACACGCACATGCACATACACATCTACAGATGCATAGAGAGGAAAGGATATATGTATATCTTTATTGTTAAAAATCTTATTTTAATCATTTATGTATATGAAAATGTTTTGTTGAAGTAGAAACACCAATAAATTACTCACCGTATTGTGCTTCATTGGCGTTAACTTTCGACGTTTCAAGGGTTTCGATAATTTCTCCATCTCTCGGCTTTTGCTTCGTAGTTCATCTATCTGCAAAAATTTGCAAAACTTGTTTAAATGCGGTAAATTTCTTGCTCGGTTATACGTGTGGCGAAAGTTGCAATGAGAAAAATTAACACAGCCAGCAATCATCATGAGGAAGAATGGGATACACAGAGCAATGATGAAGAAGAGGGGCAACGATCGGTCCCTTTCGTATTGCTTTTCAGCTCTCACCTCGTCCCATAGCATAAGCCAGGCTTGTTAGGCTTCAGAGGCCATTTGCTTTTATCTCGTCTGTATAAGTGGGATGAGAAAAAATGCCATATTACTAGCCACGCGCTTCGATCTCTTAAGCGTTCGCACATATATATACGCGCGTGCGTTTTGTTCTGGTTACACCAGTTGCGCAGTTTCAGAACAATAAATTATTATCGAAAATATTAAATTAAGGATTATCTACGTAATCGTAAGAATTATGATCTAAACTAGTGATAGCTTTTTCTAAGTGAGTGATTATTTTAATATTCAAAACGACTCTTTATTATTGTTTATAATTATTATAATACAATTTTCAAAACAATTAAAGATTAACTTTAAAACCTGCAAATTTTATCAATTTTAAAAAGCTAGCACGGAGGGTAATTTTTCTGGATTTAAAGGACATTATAAAGGATGAAAAGTTTCAATTTTTAAGTGACTAGGATTTTATTTTCCGCCCGATTAATTCCTAGGCATGATAAAGCCTATTTTTAGTACCATTTTAAAGAAAAAGTTTCTGTATCAAAACTTATATGCGATAATATTTTTCGCTTTATCCTTGTTTTTTCGTAGGAGTCATAATAATATAAGTAAATCATGAAAGTTTCAAGATTTTTACACAATCTAATTTTAATCCTCACAACAGTTCAATGAAGCGGAAAATCCTAGTCTCTTCGAAGTCGAGACTTTATTTTTTAAAGAGCATTCAGAGAAATTGTTCTACGTTTTCGAAGGTGAGATACACTGATTTCTATGTATAACTGAATATAGCATAAAATAAAAAATGTGATTATTTGACAGTTGTGAGCTCTGTCTACAAATGCGTGTACCGAAATATTGAAACATTTATATTGCACGCCTATTAAAGACCACGTAAAAAAATAATGTATACATAAGTGTATATCTTTCGTATTAAATAAAAATATTTAAGATTTTCAGCTGACTCATCTATATTTTCAATAATGACTATTATTTGATGTTTAAATTAATTTTTATTAAAATCTAATTCAACAAATGAAATTCATGACTTTAGTTTATTTTTATTTAGTTTCTCTATGTACTAAACCAGCTTAATCTCTTTTTGTTACGATTTTCGATATTGGGTTCATCATCAAAAGATATGCTATATGAGTTTGTTGGCAATGCGGCAAGCAACTTCGTCAAACATCACTGGGCGAGTTCAATTTTAAATGTTTGTTAGAAAGCAGGAAGTCTAATATATCTCAAGAGGTTACACGTCGAGCTAAGCAATGCGAATAAGCATTTTGGATTAAATATACATATAATGTCTGCAATGCGAGATAAAGACAAAACCAACAAAAATTAGAAATAATTCAAAATAAATTGGGAGTAAATACTATTTCTACATACATACGTCGAGTTATAATTATAACAACGTGATTGATTTACAAGTAAAAGTGAATATGATAAAATTATGCTAGATAAAATAATTTTGAAAAATATCAGAAAAAGAGAAATCTTCATAATTCAAGATAGAATAATAAATATAATATATTAAAAAGAAAGAGAAAAGACATTTAATTTCTATTTTTTGACTTAATTTATCCAATATTATAGCCGTCATAGTTTGTATATACATATAATATAATAATAACGTAACTATAATATACTTGTAAATTGATATCATAATTGTAATAATCTTCATATTTTATCTTGTCCTTAATGTAGTTGAATCTTTGATTCTATATAGTCAAAAAATTCAACAAATTGAAACACATAATTAAAAAAAAACGGAATTTGTTTTTATAAGTATTTAATTGTTCTACATAAGATATACTAAATGATTTATTAAAAGTTGATATTTAATAGTATTCACTTATCGCATGACATCGTAAGAATTAAATCTAAAAGGATGTATTTACATAAAAGACCCTACAATTTACAAACTGTTAAATCATACAAAAATTCCAGAGAGTCCAAGAATAGCGTGAGAAAATCGTGACCATTTTAGGTAATTTTACGGCAAAGGTATTCATCTTTTTCGTTGATGTTCTATATCAAACATTCACAGTAGTAAAATTTTTGTCCATAGGAGTCACTAGATCGGACTATTGCATTTTGGACAGTCTTTTCTAGTTGTCGTAGACTGACACCGCAGGGTAAAATTTTTTAATAAGCATCTTCGAACATTCCCGCACTGACGCTTATGTTTCAGGAGGATATTTTTACATGCCTGAGAGATAGGTTGCTGCTACAGCGAAATTACTATTTTTGCTTCGGGCAACATTATAATCGTATAATTATCGTAGGAACTATTAAATTGTTTAGAGCAATGGTGCTATTGATACTCTCGATATTTAAATATTTTGCACTTACCATTTTTATAGTTTCGTTGCGATGCAATTTTCGTAATGCGGAAAGCTCTGTTTCGTGATTCTCTCGTTGAACTCGTATCTCAGCAATACGAATCTTCTCGGCATTTAAAGCGATCTATATATAAAAATAACTTTTACAAATAAAAAGAAAACCAACAAGATGTAATTTAATATATCATAAACGTAATGGATTAATAAAGCATCTTTAAAAAATACCTACTTGCTTTATTAAAATAATTTATCCAATATTAAAAGATTAGGTTTTTTTTTTAGTAAAAAGAAATTTTTATCGAATTAATTTTTTTAATAAGGAGAAGTAAACCTCGAATTTACTAAATTGGAAACATAGATTATAGATATTTCCATACCTCGTAACAATATGTAACACTTAAATTTAAGAATTTAATAGAGAATTTTCTTACACGCAATTTTTCTTCGAGTTTTTCGTTTTCGGCGTAAAGATTTCGTATTTCTGCTTCTAGACGACGCACATTGTTGTAAGAAGAAGTATTATTTATGAAGTGCCACTCGAATTTTTCTATCATACTTTCAACTTCAGCTAAGTTTTTTGTGAGAGTCGATAATTCACTCTTGTGATTCTCGTCCTTCACGAAATGCGATTTAAATGACGTTGACGGCAACGATGACAATGGTGACACAAAATGAGCGAATCTGAATAAAAAATTGCTTTCAGCGCGCATTTTTATACTAAGATTAAATAATCTTTAAAATTGAATTTTAAATTACAAGTTGATTATTTGGTCATTTTGGTACAAATCTTCAAATTTAAAAATCGGAAATAACTATTAAATAAATCCAAAAATAAAAAACTTAAGATAGAGAGATATTCCTATTTATTATAGACTAATCATATTACTCAGAATATATCTACCTGGCCTTCAACTCGGCTACAATAGGTTGATACTTGGCAGCTTCGGTGATTCTAGCTTCCCTCAGGGCAGCTTCGAACTCCTTTTTAGCAATTTTTGCTGTCTTCCGCTCCTCGTGTAGCTCTGTTCGCACGTTCGCCAGATCCTCGCGTAGCCTTCGCGCTCCCTTCTCTAACCATTGTATCGTTTTTCTCAATCTAGAAGCAGCATCCCTTTCCATGTTTTTTTCGCAGGACGTTCTTGCATCCTGCGGATTTATTGGCATAGTTCGATGCCATTTTTTCTTCAAACGTGGCAATGATGAGACCTTTCTATCTTTTATATCTTCAGATTTCTTTTCGTTAGGTATCTCACTTAAAGATAAAAATTGAAGTATGTACTAGAATGTATTATAATTGTGCATTAAAATTAAATGTGTGTGTCATAATTCGAGATAATATTTCTTAATCAATTAAACCAAATCTACTTTTTTCAAATAAATAAAATTTTCGGCTGCTTATTAAATCAAAAATATTGCACTAATTGCTGAATCAAATATTTTGCTTATAATGTGTTTAAAATTGAGCACATTGTATAAAAACGTTTTTGGATTTATAAAAAATCCATTATAGAGGTTTATTAACAAATTCTAAAATATGAAAATACTCAAATGATAAATTTTCTTTTCTCGCATACTTAATTAAAACTTTTATCCTCATTTCTTTCAAATATGCGATAAAAAATTTGTTTAACCATACAATTTATTTTTTGCTAATAACTAAATACAAGGAACATTCCTTATAACATATAAAATTACGATAAATTCTTACAAATTGGAATTGTACTGTTCATCACGTCGCTGCGTTTTCTTAGGGATGTCCGAGTTCGATATTAGAGATTCTAATCGTCTTCGTTTTCTCACACCTTCCATGGGTGCAAGAAGATTGATTTCAGTCGTTGTTGATTTGTTCGTATTAGTCGGCTTGACGCTATGTCTCTCAGAGGAGCTTACCATCGTCGCTGGAAAAGTATTTATAAACCTTGTTCAAACACACACCCATTTATATATATGTATATGTGTACATACACATACACACACATACATACACACGCGCGCGCGCGCAACACATTGAATATAAATCCAGAATTAAATGTATAATAATAATATTATTATATTAATGTGTGTAATATTATATTTAATAATAATAATAATAAATATAATATAACATATATAAATTTTATATATATATATATATAAATTAAGCAAATTTGAACAAATAAATTGGATTTTTTCTTGTTTTAATCCAAACTGTAGTGATCTTTCAAATATAAAAAGCTTGCAATCTTTTTAGGGAGGGAGGCGATCAAAGGGGAATATATAAGAATTAAGTTTTAAAAATTGAGATTAATTCCAAAGTAAAATTTTGACAATTGTACTCTGTGCACAATTATTAAATCATAGCAAAAAATTAATTTTTGCTACAACTGATGCACAAAGATCCGCGTTCGGCTCTTACAGCTCGTTTATTTTAAATGTAATTTTTTTGAATTTATTAAGTATTAAACATTTTTAATAATTAAAATCACAATACTTTCATATCCTAAAAATATTACTAAAAGATTGCTCGAAATAAATAGATTATAGAGTAATTAATCTTCTATTACGTAAAAATATGAACACTATTTTTAAAATAAAATTATGCAAAATGTACATTAATATCAATTATTAATTGTCAATTTAAATGTGCCTCTTGTACTTTAACTTCATTTATATACAATGCCACAGATCATGTATATTTTTTAAAATAAAGATTATAAGATTATAATTTTATATTTTGGTTTAGAAATTTGTATTATAAAAATAGTATCAAAAATTTTACATAAGCAAAACATTGTTTAAAGTTTTAAAAAAATAAGCTTCGCAACATGTTAAAAGGTCTTTTTAAGATATTATTTAACGAAATAAAAAAATGTCTTATATATATATATATATATATATGTATATATATGTATATTCATTTCTACAACAAGCTTGAAATCATTGAGAAATGAAGATCACAATGAATAGACTTACCGTTTTCGACGTTTAAGAATGTAAGGATATCTTAACCGACATGTGTTGGATCCACGAAATATATAATTAAATCCGACACGGACGGCAAAAGAAACCCTCCTCGCAAGAGATACCGTCGCCAACTAAAAGAGGCCGAGAACCTAAGCTACGGCTACACTACGGCTTGTAATCGCTATATATGTCAACTACGTCATCTCTTTGGCTCTATTTAGCTCTCATCTCTCGCTTCTCTGTTCACCTACGCTAAATTTGACTCGTTATTCACGTCCCCTTTTATCTGCATGGATTCGATCGTAGTTATTATTGATAACATATCTCTATCAGTAGAAAGATCTATCACATTTTAGTGTAAGCTAATTTTTGCCAACGTAAGAATATAGATACACGAACAGAAATGAATGCCTATTTCAAATATTCAGTTACTCCACATAACATACAATAACAATTATTTTATAGCATAAATAGTATATGCATAGAAATTTTTGAATAAAAATTTAATAAATTTACTATTTTTAATTAATATCGTTGAATTGTAATATAAAAAAAGAGAATTAAGAAAAAAAGAAAACCACAAAATGCGAAGTTATATGTTAAGACACATTTTTTTCTTTATGTGGATAAAATAATTTTATCTTGATAATAATTAAGGTATATCAAGGTATAGGTTAGCTACATAATATTCTAAATCATATTATATGTATATATATTATATGAATATGGTAAACTAAAAAAAATTTACAATTATATTTGAACGCTATTTTTTGATATTTTTTGTCAGTTGTAATTCAACATTTTAAAAGTAAAATATAATAGAACACTATAAAATTTAATAACACTAATTTATTATAAACATATGTTACAAAGTCAATGTTTATTATAGTGACGCTCAGAAAACTGTGAAATAAAAATAATGCCAAGTAAACTTACAATTTTTTAATTAGTTGCTACATTTACTCGTATATAAGAAACATGATTTAAATAGATCAAAATTTTAACGTGTATGAAATGTACATTCAATGAAAAATATTTAAAGATACATAAAAATGTGCTGGAGGAGTTGTTTATTTCTACCAAAAAATGTTTGCAGCAATTGGATTCTTTATTTATACGCAATATGTTTCCTAAAACATAATTCTCAAATTTAAACTTATTATTAAAAAATCTATTGTTTTTATATTTTTCATTTAAGAATTATTTGCAAAAAAATTATAAAGTTTTCTTTTAATTAATTCTATGAAATGCTAACGATAAATAACAAGTATTTTTTAAAATTCCAGTTAAGTATTACATAATAAATATAAAGTCTATAATTATAAGTGTATGGGTATGTATGTATATCATATATTACCAGGCTGTTAGAGAACTTTTCCATAAAATATTTACTTAATTTTTAAAAATTTATCAGCACTCTTGTTGGTTTAAATTTAAATAAATATTATTAGATGTTAACACTATAAAATAAAAAATAAACAATAAATAAATTATGTACACACGGGGAAGACAGAAATACATATCTTAATATACATGAACTTTTGCATGTATTAAACTAATATTTTTATTTTTTATATATACCTCGATGGACGATGCGCCTGAATTCATATGTCAAAATATTTCTATTCTCGCATATATACATATTAAAGGAAGTGTGTATATATTAACAGAAGAGTTAGGATTGTTTTTACAAAATTGTCAAACTAAAACCAAACGATCCAAAGAATTCTTAGGTCTAGATTTGTGAATCTACATTTATATTTGATACTGCTGATAAAAGATTAAAAAAGAATACGGCCGTTAATTTGCGGTAGAAATATCCCCAAGTCGTTTGGGGCGCGGCGAAACTCCGAGACTCGAGAAGAGCCAGCTATCGATCGATTGCGACGCCTGTGCAGTAAGCGAGTCTGAGCTACGATCAACGACCATAGAGCCCAGGCGAAACAATCGCATAGTCTCGTCAACGTAGTTTGCTTTCGAATATAAGGATAGTGTTGTCAGTGTTGTTGCCATTCACGTACTCCAGCCAGTGACCTGTATTTCTTTTCGTTTCGCGAGGAGTCTTCTTTGATTCTGCCACGAAAGTGGCTGATAAACACGCTGTTCATAACAGCGGCATCTTTGGCACGACGAATCACGTCGTCATGTGGCTGACAGTGCAAGATACACTAGGTGCGAGAGTGTTATTGGAATATTTGTGCATATTTATAGAACCGCGCCGGCTTCATTCGTGACCTCGGAATCTTTCGCCAGCGGCGATAATTTTGTGACAATACTCGAATCATAATCGCGCGATAAGAAAGAATTAAGAAAAAACGCATTTCTGACGCAGTTGATATAAATTGATTGAATGCATGTATTGTCATGTAGTTTAATTAAATGTAGCTAGTAACACTACGACACACAGTGTTTTTTTTTCGTGTTGCATGCGAGCGATCATGTTATAACTAACATGTTAGTTATGAAGTTAAAAATTTTGTACACTGTTTGCCGCCATGCGTGTTAGCATGCTAGTTTTCAAAGATAGAATCGGTGCTATTTTTGCTGTGTGATTTGGTAAAATAAATTAAATATGTCATGTCAATTAGCAACGATTTATTATCATGCATTGCTGAAACTAGCATGCTAACAGCATGTAGCGTACAAAATTTCTAGCTTCATAGCTAGCATGTTAGCTCTCATATGGTTGCTTGCATGTGATTATAACACGAAAAAACGCACCGTGTACCGTAGGCTTTATTGCTAGTTGCGACCATTATTATTAGTTTATGAATATGTCGAATTTACAGAAACCGCGCGGAGGCAAGCATAATTACTTGCATATTTCTAATGACAACAAATACTAGCAGCTAATAGTTACCATAGAAATTAATTTTTAAAATATAAAAGCAAAATTTTTTAACAAAATTGAAATAACTTAATATCACTGGAAAAAAAAATTTTTAATTGAAAAAAGAAAATGTATACATTTTTAACATCTCTCACATAATTTTATAAAAATATGAAGATAAAAGAAAGAGATACATGTACTGAATGAGGTTTAAATAATGTACATAAGTTTTATGCGTCAAAATATATAAAGTTTTTAATAATTTTTATATTTATTAAAAATGTAACATTTCTTTTTATTTTTAAAAATTTGAAAAACACGAAAAATACTAAATGTCTTTTTTTGTTCAAATCTGTCTTTGAATTCTTCATTTTCTCTTATATTTTTCGTATATATTTTTCTAATTTTTTTACAATACTTTTTCAAGAATATTTTAAATATATTCTTGATTTAACTTTATTATTATAAAAAACATTATAAAAAACATACTAAAACACATTTTGTAATATTTTATTCAATATTAGTTGAGTGACATATAATAATGAGTGACAGAGAAAGTCAAAATATAACTGAAAGAGACGCAGAAACGCTAATCTTAGGAAAAATTAAACCTTGACTTCAGAGAATACATAATTATCGATTATATATATCCATAGTCTATATACACCTTAGTCACAATAATACTTCCGTTATTAATTATGCGAGTTAAAATCTTTTGCACAATTTAGAAAAATATTAATTTAAATAAGTTAAAAAAATAAATTAAAAATAATACGTTAAAAAATAAGCTAAAAATATTAATTTATTAGGTTTTTATTTTTAATATATATAATCAATATTTAGAGAGAAAAAGAGAAAAAGAAAAAGAAATAGAAAAGAGAAATAAAATAATGGGCTAAATTGCATATGTTTAAATCAATAATTTATTGAAGTCTTTTTATGTGCATGATGTATGAGAATATTTTATATTTCTATATTTTAATGATACAATCTTTAAAACTCTGATACATTTCTTATATAAAAATCTTATATCGAATTTTACTTTCAAGGTACAGATTTCAAAGATTCATTATTTGCTTTCTGCAGTTTCTTAAATTATTGGATATTAAATACTTAAATTATTGAGTATTTTGACAATTACAACTCAAACTTTAATTTCGGAATAATAGAGTAAAGGTGATACAATTGATATAGATACAAATTTTGAATCGATATACATATGTATCTCTCCATTTCTGTCTTTTTGCGATTAAACATTGCATTATATCAGAGTTAATTTATTTATATCATCTTTAATCAGTTTAATCATCAGAAGAACTATTTTTTTAAATCCTGATTAATCTCTCCCTCTCTAAACTATTATATACATCACGTATAGTCATCACATTGAAAATGGAGAAGAAGCGTTGGATGGTCAGCATGACGTAAATTCGCCATTGCAATCATTCTGCAACCACTGGAAAAAAATTGGAACGGCCGAGGCGTGTATAATAGAAACGAAGATAAATAGATGGATAAATAGAAATCGGACATTAACGCAAATGAATGCAAAATGTCCGAAAGCGAAATAAAGTCGGCTTCGCCGATACCCACAGTTATATGTGCTCAATGCTGTAGTAATAGCGGTGGTAGTGGTGGAGGTAGCGGCGGCGGTGGCAGCGGTAGTCTGTCGACCACGCAATGTCCAGCCTTGCAAGTGACTTCACGAATGCTGCGTTCACCAAGTCACGAAAGCGTTACTACCGATTTGTCGCTCTTCAGCGTGTCGTCGATCGCAAGTGATCTGCGCAGCGCCAATAGATTGGTCACTTTTAAATCCTACAGTGACGCGCAGCTTGCGGCACGAGGACCCTCTCCGAAACCAGATTCTCGACAAATTCAGGGTAACAGGTTAGTACTATGTTTATGTATTATTCTTGCACTACGCATTTATCGTCATGCACAAAAAATCATTTCATGTTTATTCAATTATATACATTTTGATAGACCAGCGGATATTCCTGAAATTCTTTGGTTCGAGGAAGAGAACGAGTTAATACGTAGTTGTGGGGTTCTATCATCAGCATTGGGATTGCGTAAGAGCTTCAGCACGAGTGATGTGTCACAGCTTCCTAGTCCAGACGCGACTGGAGCTGGTGGTCTTCGAACAGCAGTATCCGCTTTAGCTCTTGATACTATCCAGCGCAATACCCTATTGCTGGAGCATGCAAGACTTGATCACGCTTCGAGATCTTGTAGCACTTGGGTCGCCGTAGGTGAACCTGTAGCCAGTACGTCTCAGCTTCCTAGCCCACATGGTGGAGCTACGCAAGAACAACAACAGCAACTATCGCAACCGCAACAACAATCTTCCAACACTCACAATCAATCGGTACCGCAACTGCCGCCCCAACCACCGGCACCACCACCACCGCCTGTGCCCTTCACAGGAGCGGATCTGGTCAGATCCGTTAACAAAAAAGTCCGACAAAATTATATACGACGAAGGTTAGTAAAAAACGTTTTTTCTTTCCTTTTATTTATGTTCAAAATATAGATATTTTTATATATAACAGTTGCAAACATATTAAAATATAAAACATAGAACATATTATAAAATATAAAATGTTTATATGCGTAAGCTTTCTATTATAAGTTTCTATTAACAAAATAAAAATAATTGACAAGTTTTAATTCTTTTATATTTAGGATAAACTACATATATATTAAGCTAACTATTTTTATTAGATTATACTGAAATCTCTTATAGTAGCACGCGGTTTGAAGTTGCGAATATAACATTATTTCCACTTTATTCTCAAACCGTGAAATTTTAGGATAGCGATTTTGTCCATACATTATTTTCCATTACATTGTTGAAAAAAAACTTATGATAACACTAACAATACGGCCACATAGAAACACATTGTTGCGTGATTGTACTACATATACTACTATTTCTGGTCACATGTGCTTGACATACATGGAAAAAGCGTTATTTGCAGATTCGTGCTATTATGAGGTTGCAGCTTAGTATATACATATATTTGAGTGATATGATAACTCGCAAAATGTAATTATCGAAGAATTATTAAATAATGCGATTAATTTTTCTTTTTTTAATAATGTTTTATTTTTTTAATAATGTTTCACTTTTCAATATAATTAAATGCTTTATTTGCATCATGTTAGGTTACTTACCACGTATCGTGCTTTGGAACGTCTCTCGCAGAGTGAATTTAACTTAGACCAACTGGAAGCAGCGGCTACCGCGGCGCAGAGTTCTCATGGAACCACTTTATTGGTGCCCGGAACAACTGCACGGGTTCCTAGTACTTCTTTGATTGGACGAAAAGAACGAAATCATGCATTGACAGTCCGGGATGTTGAAAGAGAACGTGGAAATCAGTTGTCTAAGTACGAAAGAAACATGATGATCTTCAATTGGCTTCACACTCTAGACGACAGCGCAGCTGTAGATAGCGTTGAATAAAAAAACGGAAAGAGTCACTATTTCTCACAAGTCTGACTACATGCGATCTATCGTGCCTAAGTCCCTTCTTCGATATCATTTATCGAAAGGACATTTCATTGATGGACACCATATTATCGCATCTCGGAGGATACAGATCGAGTTAATTCGTAAGACTTTAGAATATAGTTATATTGAATTATGACATCATACAGCGAAAGATTATATAAAAATTTCTTCTTGCATCTATTCTTTGAAATAAATTAGTTTCTTTTCGTACACTCTTACAGTTATATTTGACAGAAACAGAGTATGTTGAAGACTTCTCTTTTATACTTTTTTTCTTTATTAATTCCTCTGCCTAACAGATATTTCATTTATTTAGATTCGTTAATACTGAATATATGAACTATTTAGTCATTTATTTGTTTTTATATTTCCTTGGCACTTATAAATTATGTTTTAGGCAGTCAAAAAGAAGCAAGGCAAGAAAAGAATAAAATGTCGATTTATCCTTTGGCATTTAGCAGAGCTAGTTTAGACATACATATATCTTTCATGTGATGATTAATGAATGGCTGTGTAATCTTCTAGTCTATATGTATTTTATGTTTTTTTAATGAAAATAAGCTTCTCATAATTAATTATAAGATTAAGATTTACAGCTGCCTATTAGGGTTCAAGTATCTTATTCACTGCAATCACACAAATGAATTATGATCAGAGGTGAGAGAAATCATATAAATTTTATTCTCTAATTTAATATATGTTGTGAGGTCGTATATATAGTGAGGATACATGAGCTTTAATTTACGAATCGAAAAAAGAATCCAGAAAATTTCCAAAGCATATTATTTTTATTTCGCATACAAATACTAGCATCTAAAAAGCTAATTTATTCCAACTATATATTATTGCAAGAATAAATTATTTCTATATAAAGTATTATAACATTTAGGGATGATTTTATATTATACAATATATGATTCCATTTCTGATGTTATAACCTAATATGACTGCAAGTACGAGTGAGGAACGATAATAAAAATTAAAGGAATTAAAATATAGACATCCGTCCCTTCTCGTCTAGCGACATATTTGTTGCTGTAACGAGTGTGTATCCAAAGTATCTTATATAAAACAGAAGTTTTATTGGCTATATACAAAAAACTCAAATGTGCACATGAATCTTATAACGAATTCGAATGCTTAACTATTTTATACTAGTGCACACTAAAAGCAACTGCATTTATACAAATTTTATTCAAGTGTAAAATATAACATATTAATATAAGCATTTTAACTATAATAAATATTTATTCTCCATTTCCAAAAAAATCTGCTTAAAATAATATTATATTATGTAGCAGCTAGAATATTTTGTGTTAAGTTTTTCATCAATAAAGCTGTTTATCTTACGTAATTGCAGATTTTTCAGCAAACTTATTTATGTATAACAAATATATAGAACTATATATCAGTATACAATAGTGCAGGTATCGAATTCGTTATTAGATACAAATTAAGAGAGAGAATTATTCGACTTGAAACTATTCTTAATGCAATACGAAAAATATACATTTCTTTATGCATTATTCGAACGCTATAATTATAAAATCTGTTATTAATTATAAATATTTTTTTATGTTTATCAGATTGTAGATAAATATTTTATCCTTGTCTTTTAGTTATAGTCTAAAGAAACATATTTGAAACTAGAAAATATATGATTAAAAATACTCCTATGTGGAAATGGGGCCTTTATTTTTACGAGCAACGATAAATTTATGTTGAAATCTTTGATGTTTTATTTCCAAAAAATATATATACATGATGCAGAACGTTTCGACAATTACTTATTATGTCTTCTTCAGCCATATATTCAAAATCTACAAATTATTAAACGAGATAAATATATATATGGAACATTAAATTAATTCATTTTGTTGCGTGGACAAATATCTGTGTAAACCGTGTGTACAATATGTGTCGTGGTGTGTAGACATAGAAAAGTCATAATTAATTAAAATATTATATGTAAAGAAAATCACACCAAAACTATTTTTAAGTTAGAATTATTAAAATCTAAAAACATGTTGTATCATGTTGAAAGTACGAACGGTAATGATATTGATTTTACATGTGCGTTTGTTTTTATATGTTTATCAGATATGGTTATCACAAAAAACATTCACAAACCTTGGAATAATTTCGACCAATCTATCTTATTTTTAACGTATTGAGCTTATTGTCAGTAGTGGAAATATATATATGATGAATCTATAATAATGCACAATCATCCGTAGCATTAAAATCATATTTTCCTGCTGTTTTATAAAACTACTGATAAACATATAAAAACAAACGCACATGTAAAATCAATATCATTACCGTTCGTACATGACGTTCGTACATTTTCGACATAATACATGTTTTTAGATTTTAATAATTCTAACTTCAACCCAAGTAGAACAGAAAAGTCAAAATAATGTCAATTTGACGTCATTTTGACCAAATTTGATCAAAATTATATTATTTTGATTTTCTGTTCTACTTGGGAAAATATAGTTTCAGTGTGATTTTGTTAACACATGTAATATTTTAATTAACTATATGACTTTTCTATATTTACACACCATGACACATTGTACACACGATTTATACAGGTATTTGTCTACGCAACAAAATAAATAAATTTAACGTCCTATACATATATATTTATCTTATTTAATAATTTGTAGATTTTGAATATATGGCTGAAAAAGAAAAGTATAATAAAAGTATAATTGTCGAAACGTTCTGCATCATGTAGTATATATATTTTTTGGAAATAAAATATCAAAGTTTTTAACATAAACTCATCGTTGCTCGTAAAAAAATACATAATTTCGTATTATTCGTTTAATTAAAATATTCTTGCGCGAGATTTTTTAGACATTAAAAGTTTGAATAAAAATTTTTAATTTGACATTTACAAGATCAGTTACTAAAAAGTTTAGTAGAATATAAATTTAGAAATTATATAATTATAATAATCGATATTATTTAATAGTTCAGTGTACGATTTATAGCAAAATTCGTGTGTTGAACAGCAAACAAACTTATATAAACTGGAAGAATGTATGTCTTGTGTTAATAAGTACTTATATATATTGTTATAGATACATATCGATAAGAAATTTTTAATCAATGGAACATCAATGTATTATATTGATGAAATTTTAGTAATTGTAAACCAAAAATCTAACAATATTTTACATTTTCAATTTGCAATTAGCATTATAATGACATTCGAGTAGTATACAAAGAGAGATCAATATATGATGCAAGATGCAATTTGTGAAGAGTTCTACTTGTGAAATATTAAATGATATAATACGAGCGATTTAGTATATATTGTTAATTGACTTCTATAATTATAAGTATTCGAAAATAAACTAATCCTCTAAAATTTCGTTTATTCTAAAGGACATATAAGAGCTTAATAGATACATGCTGAAATATAAAACAAATTTATTTAAAAATTTATTTAGAAAAAAATACGCATAAAAAAGTGTATATTTAATTTTATGATACGTGTGTTCCTTAAAAATAAGCCTTCATTGTTCAGCGTAAACAATAAATCCGAAACAATTACTTTTATATTTTCTATACCTGACTAATTGTAACAAAAATACAATAGATTATATCAGTATTATACATATGCGCCGCGAGACAATGTTTTTGAGGTATCAAATGGATGTGCAATCACAATTAATGCGCTTTCATGTATATTAAATGTTCCTTCCAAATATAATATTTATCGCGATAAATATTTATGGTGCAAAGAGAGTATTAAACAAATAATAAGATTTATTAAATATTATCCACATGCATACTTTGTTTTTATTTCATTAAAAAGATAAAATATAAATTTAAAAAAACAGATAAACATATATAGGAACATGACCATATAATTTCTTGTTATTATATAATAAGCAATATAAGAGAAAAAAGAAAAAATATAATATTTACTTTATTATTATAAATATATGTTTAATAGTGAAAGCATAACTTTGAAATTGTTGTGCAATTTTCTACCAAAATGTTTTTAACAGTTTGTGCCAACTTTTAAAATATTGGTTAAATGCATGCATGCTGTTTCTAGCAGTAAATTAACAATATACTTATATTGAATATTCTCATTAGACATTTTTTAACCGCTTTTCTTATGTTAGCCACATAAGATAAATTACATGACTCTTTTTGGCAAAATTAATTATATATTTTGAATATCTACATTTGTTGTTATATTATATATACTTAATAATATGGAACAATTATAAGAAAAATTTTCTTAGCTTGCATATATGTATATATAGCCGCACAGTGCCCTATATTATAAATAAAAATAAATTTTATAATTAATTAAAATTTATTAATTCACGAAAAGAAAATAATATCGATTAGTATATTTTATTAATTCTATAAATCTACATTATTAAACGTGCAAAATGATAACAAAAAACTAATTTATTTTAATAATTTGCAAGCAAAAATTCAGATAATTTCTCGTTTCTGACGACATAATTTACTATGATAGTAAAGAACTAAATAGTTTTTCGATTTAATATTAATATCAATTTAATGTAATATTTTCTTTCTAAAGGAATTGACAACTAGGATTTTATTATCAAAAATTTCGTGATCACAAAATCATACCAAAGACAATTATATTAAAATTAAATATGTAAAGATTACACAAAAATGAAACGCATTAAAAAATGAAAAATACATGTATACATATGTGTGTGTGTATGTAAATGGCTTTTAGATATTCATACAATTGAAAAGATTTTAAAATAATTGGAAAAATGTTTTATTGGGAAAAACACGAATGAAAAAAAAAAGGTTATAAATTGGCGAACTTATGCATGAACATTACAATAAACATTATAATGAAATATAATTTTGATGTATACTTTATAGCAGGCCTTGTCTCTTAAGATCTTCATATGTTTTGCGATTGACTACATTGCCAAGCGAATCTTCAAATTCTTCTTCCTGTTCTGGTTGCCAACGTTCAGCTTGTTTCTGTGCTTTGAGTTTTTCCCACAAAGCAAGAGCATCTTCAATCTGAGTGACATTGGCGAAGTGTGCCGTATTTGGAATACCAAGACAACGCATGCCGTGAGCATGCCTCCATTCCGCGAAGTGTCTCTGGAATGCTTTTGGACCTTTGTATGTGAAATTCCCACAAATTTCACAATTGTAACTGATGTTTAGACCATGCAATTTATACAACCAGTAAGGTATGGGTTTCCCGTCCCAGCCTAAGGGTAAATTTTTGGATTATATGGCACCTCATTGTCATCTTCTTCCTCTGATTCGCTCGCACTTGCTTCTGCATCAGAATCGCCTCTTTCGCCCTCGGTTCTTGCTTGTTTCTTTGCACATTTTCCTTTGTAGCTACTCGTTGACTAGATATTAATTCGGCGAGTCTATACGCGTGAGCTTCGAGTCGTGCAATTTCCTTTTGCTTCTCGGAATCTCTGTTCTTAGCTGATTTTCCCTTTCGATTCTTTGCTAATAAGTTGGGATCCAAAGAGGCTTCGCCTTTTGTACTGAAAAGTCTTTGCGCCCGTTCCTCGAGCGTACCTCCGCATTTGAGTCCTAAAGCCATCAAGGCTGATTTCAATCTGTCTAAACCAAGAGATGCTAATTCTTCCCATGATGAGAATGCAGATAATTCTAAATGGGCTCCTACATGAGTCAGAGCGCTTCCAGCTTCCTTGGGCCAACCAGGAAATGTGTTCTTCTCCCAATGAGTTTGAAAATCCTTATTAGCTTCTCCAATCTCTGTACTTATATCAAGCAGAGGTCTCACTCTGTTCAGATAATCTGTCAAATATCCTAATAAAGACTCAACATATCTTTGATACTCTGCATTCTTTCTTTCTCTAGGAATGTCAAATAGATGATCAAAAGTTGATAGGTAAGTAATGTAATCTATTTTTCTATTCCTTTAAGATTGATGTATTTTTGGTAACACTCATGAAGATCAAGATATTTTCCATAACCTTCTTCATCTGTAAATTCGACAAGATTAGATAATTCTTCTGTTGGGTTTTCTCTCATCTTAGCTAATTCCTCAAATTCGACAGACATAGGAACACTAATTTCATTAGGATGTCGACGATAAAATTCTTTTATCGACTTTAAACGCGAATAAAATTCTGAGAATTCATTTGGACCAGAGAGTGCTTGAACCTAAAATATAAAAGAAATAAAATTTGAATTATTAAGTTGAAATATATATATATATATATATAAACTTAAATACATCAAAACCATAAAACTTTCTAATTTCTTTATCTTTGAAATGAAAGATATTTCAAGTGGACAAAGTAATGTTAATGATCATTATACACACACACACACAACTCTGCTCACTCAAAATACTTTTATTTTAAATAAAAAATTAAAGTTACCTATAAAGCACACATAGAAAGTATTCGAAGAATATCATAAAAGTTTATTGCATGCTAATAACATTCAAAATACATATTGCTATATATAAAATATGTAATAAAAATGCTATTTATATTTGTTTTCCTACTTCTCAATACATACATGAATATCTTTTTAGTTTATAATAAGTATATCTATAGATCTTGAATATATTACAATAGACATAAAAGAAAAAAATTTTTTATTTATTTGTGTAATTTCAAACAATCTATTTTTAATATTGTAAATCTGTTAAAATTCTATGAAAAAGTCCTGCATACACAATTTTTGCAACACAGATTATTACAACTTTTTACTTTTATGATTATTTTACTTTTAAAATAGTAAGTAGAATATATATTGTACTTTGATTTTATCAGTTAATCTATATGCGTTCATATAAGAAACTTGAATAGAAGATAGATATGGCACATAGTGGTAAAATATTTAACATATTTTGATATAGTGTGTTGCTACTTCCAGGATATACTAATTTTCGATAAATAAATAAGATATTAATGAATTTAGTACATCCTGAAGATATATAAAATACTAGAAATAATGTATTTTACAAGAGATGTTATAGTGTATTATCAGATGTTTTCAGTATATTTAATATAGTAAATAGAATATGTGAATATGATGTGCTATTTGATAGATATTTAATAAGTTTGAGATGTATATTGTATAATAATAATAATTTTTATATAGGTAAATATGTAAATATTGCAAGAAAAAAATACTTTTTTTAATCCTTTGCATTCCAAGAGTTGATATTCATACTGTTATAAATATGCATAGTCATCATAGATAATATGAAAGTAATTCAATAGTTTCATAAAATGAAAATTTTTTCATAGTGAAATTCTATAAAAATGGTAAATTTTATAAAATAAAAATGCTGACAAAAAATTATTAAAGTTATTATTGTACATATTTATTCTAGAATTAATAGTTTTCGAATTATTTAATTGTTAAGTTGGATAGTCAAAAAGTTATTTAAAATTTTGCAACTGCAGATTCAAGTAACAAAGTCAAAATACATAATGTTGGTAAGTGCATAAATGCGCTTAATAAAATTCATTCATTATTGGTGATTCGGTGAATCAATTTGTTTTCTAGATCTAATACCATTTCATTTTTAATTTGAATTAGATATATAAAATGTATATATATACAATAAGACTGATAACACTAAAAAATATGAGGCAACAGATGATAGCATCTATATATATAATAATTCAATATTACAGAAATTATAAGATGAGTATTTAAGTAAGCGTTTCCAAGTACAATGTTGTATCGATATAAATGGTCAATATAATCGATACAATAAATACTTTCAACTTTTTCATATTGTACATATAAAATTGTATATTATACATATAAAATTTTTATAAAACTAATTATATTTGACATTTCTTCTCCATTTCTGAATATTTGTTAACTTTGTAATAAAATATATAATTGAGGTAAATGTCGAATGACAGCAAATTCGAAAGTTTAATATATTTTAGAAATTATTTGATTTAAAATACATTAAATTTACATAAAACTTTCACCTCAAAAGAAATTTGCATCTCTACAAAGTTATACTATAAAAAAAGATATTCTATTAAAAAATTATTAGACTCATATTCCTTTCATGTCTCCATTTAACGAAATGTCTTCATTCAACGACACTTAGTATATGACCATTAAGTATATGATTTACACATCAAAACTATAAATAAAGGTTTCTACTTTAAATTTTTTCTATTGTTTAAAATAACAAAAATATTTGAAATTTACAGTGAAAAATTATCTGTTATACCAGTGTGAATATATACATATATAATTTTATGCTAACATACTTCCTCTTTCCTTTGTCCATCTTTATCTTCATATAAATCTTGCAAATGCATTGTACTATCCATAAATTGATCCAATAACATTTTTAGACGATGTTCCGAATTGATATTTTCACGATGGCCCGCTTTTTTGTGTAACATCTCTTTCACCATCGCATCCATCAATCGTTCTCTTTCTTCATGATATCGTCGTTGTTGTTCCAATATCGTTTCCATCTACATTTAATAATAAATATAATTAATTTAAACTTTCACATTAACTCAAAAATAAATTAAGTATAATTTTAATAAAAACGGTATACTTTTTTCCTTTTTCTATGAGTGATTAGGCTTCTCTGATCGAAGAATTTCCTAACAACGCTGTACCATACTATAGCATAATCATAGATCCAGAGAATAACTGAGATCGACTATCTCGCCCTGTTTTCCACACTGCAGCAGCGCCAATAGGGAGAGTTTCTTTAATACAACACATCCATTAAAGGTGCAATTTTATGGACGCTAGAAACCAGCGTCAAATTAAAATCACTAAACTTTCTCTAGATTTAGTGTCAAAAAAATATACTGGGGAATAAAGTTCAGACCGTTTCAACTTTTTTAGCGTGCCGCGAATTCAACAGTAATAGTAATTAACAATGAACGAAGAAGAAGAATAATAAACAATTACAAAAAAAAAGTAAGTAGTAAAAAGTTTAAACCGTTAAATACGATAATAAATTTTTTTGTTATTTTAAGGTCTTCATTTAGATATCGTAACGTTTGGTCATGTGTTTTGTCAATATATTTATTATCACGAGGAAAACTAATCTATTATATTTTTTTTAATTTTTTTTATTTTAACGTTCTATTTAGTTTTAAGGAATTTGAATCGCTAATTGCGATAAATAATTCTGCCATTACTTCACGATCAGCATGTAGATACTTTAAATGAACATAAGACATATGATTTTATTTCAGTTTATAGTTTCAGTATCGAAAAGAGGGCTATTCTGCTAATATCTTTTATATTTTTTATCAGGTTCTTTTACTTTTTGAAGAGTGTATCGTTAATTGCGATAATTAATTTTATGATTACTTTGAAGTCATTATTTATATTGTAAATCATGTTCATTCGAATCGTTTCTTTCCAATATTTTATATAGAAAAATGAGTAATCTGTAATTTTTTTTAAATTTTGAACCAAGTTCTTAATTTTTAAATAATTTAAACCGCAATTGCGATAATTAATGTTTTGATTATTTTAATGTTTTAATTAATATTGTAATGTAAGTCTTAAATTTTTTTTTTTTTTAATTTTTTATTATCGAAAAGAGACCTACTTTGTTACTTTTTTAGATATTCTTAAATGGGTCTTTTTTTACTAATTTTGGATAACTAATTTTGTTAATTAATGAGATATTTTAATTTGAAATTAAATAATGATTTTTTAATGTTTTCTTATCAAAAAGATATATTTTGTTAATACTTTTTATTTTTAACTAACTTTTATTTCTTATTATTTTTTTTAATGTAAAACGTTAAATGTAATTATTAATTTATTCATTATTTTAAGGACTTTATTTAGTTACCTTGAGTGAAAGTAACGTACGTGTTTTATTTTATTTTTTTTTTGTTTCTAAAATTGTTATTATCGAATAAAGGACTATTCGTAAATATTATTATATTATTCAATATAATCTTTTTTGTTTTTAAAAACTCATTAATTTAATTAATGAGAAAAAGTATTTCTTTTTCTTTTCTTTTTTAAACAAAAAAAAATTGTTAATGTTAAAAAAATTTTAATTTTGTTGTAACAATTATAAAATCGAGTTAAATCTAAACCAAATCGACAACAATTTTAATAAGTAACTTAATATAACGAAAACGTATCTTCAATTAAGTAAAGTTGTTAACTTCTTTAATCTTGTTGTAATTATTGAAAAATATGTTAAATAAAATATTTACCGTTATGAATAGATATGATGTTAAATGGAATAATAAAAAAAAAAAATATCTTGAATAAAATGATAATTCTTGTTGAATACTTCTTCAAATATGTAATATAAAAATAAATAAAACCAAGTACAACGGTCATTTATTTTTAATAAGTTGATCAATATTATGAGAAAGTATAATTAATAAAATATAAAAGTTGAAAAACTTTTATTTTTTAATTATTTATTTTTTTTAAATCTTGTAATGGCTAAAGATTGTGTGTAACTTGATTCTAACAGTTATCGATTGCTATGAAGTGATTTAAAATGATAAAATAAAAAAAAATAACATAAATGGCGTAATAATTGTTTTGAATACTTCTTTACTTATGCAGTTGTCGAAAATTATATTAAACCCGATCTTAAACGTTATAATATTGAGCAAACTAATTATATTACATAAAAATCTTTAATGATATAAAAATAAAGAAAAAAAAAATTATGTAATAAATTTTAAGCGACGAAAAAGCGGATAAAAAAATCAGAAACGAAAAACAAAGCATTGCACTCACAGCACACGTATCGTTAATATAAAAAATATATTTAAACTATTAACACAAAAATCACAATTATTTAAGCCGCACAAAATTAACTAAAAAAACGCCGAATCAAACGTATCAAAAAGTTAAAATAACCGGAAAAATACCGGTCACAAAAATATAGTATGAATGTTCCACAAGCAACGGTAGTTAAAACGCAAGAAAGACAAACACTTTTCTTTTTTTTTTTTTTGCAAAAAAAAACGCACACTGTTCGAAACGACAAACTATCTAAAACAGCGCCAAGGCAGCTTGAAAAAAATTTATATAGGTCTTTATTTCTAGAAAATTCGCAAACATTTTTCTAAATTTATCGTTCGGTTGAGAACTAAATAACGTTTATTGTCATTATTTACTTCTAAATTAAATCTCATTTTTTGTTATTAAAACAAAAACTATTTTTGTCACCTCTCGCGCGACCGAAAAAATTACAACTTATGTATAAAAATTTAAGCACTCATTTCTTGACAGCGCAAAATATCCGCATACACTCGCGCCGGGCTTTTTTTTTTATTTTTTTTTATTTTTTTTTTATTTTTATTTTTTGTATAATATAAAATTACGCATGTTGCAAATAACACAAAATAATTGTCCGCATGAAACATGTTAAATAAAACAATGAAAAAATGTTAAATTTTGAATACAAATAATCTTTGTTTTTTTTTCTTTAATTTATTTATATTTATTATTTATTGTTTAATTTCTTTTTTTTTTTTTATTTATTTATATATTTATTTATTTATTTTTTTTTTTAAGTCAGGAAATTTTTCCCTCAGGGGCACTGCAGACTCATCCCTGTAGTGTACGGGTGTCGCAATCCCGAGGTACCCGAGCTGGAGTGTGTGGTGAGGATGAACGAGGTGCGATGGGCGTGCAGGCCCTAAAAAGGACTTGTCCACTGCACTAGGTGAAGGAAAACACCGAAGATAACACCGGGGGGGAGGCCCCGTTAGCCAGGCAAGGCAATCTCCTAAGGGGAAGGAAAACCCCCGACAGAAAAAACCAATTTTTCTTTTCAGATATGAGTAGTTCCGAGAAGAAAGCGAACGTTCTGGGTTCGGATACCAGGAACCGGCGTGGGGGGGGGGTGCAGGCCTGGCTCCCTCCATGTCGTCAACAGACGACAGGTCGTCCACGGATTTGCCGGCTGGGTCCGTGGATTGGAAAGCGACAGCGCCGAGGATCAAGCCGAAGAAGGACGTGGAGGGTCAGCTGATCGAGCTGACCATTACCTGGGAGGGGTTGGGTAAGGATGTCGATCCGAGGAATCTCGCGATCGATGTCTGGCAATTCCTCTCAGATGCGCAGGTACGTGCCTATCGTCAGAGTGACACATATAGGCACCTAAAGGAGCAGGTCCGCGCCTTTGTGAAGAGGTGCTCGCGTGGTGTCACGAAGTTCTGTGGCCGCCACGAATGCATTGAGTACGTAAATCGTGAGCCTGGAACTGGAAAGACGAGGCCTGGAAGCTATCCAGGAAGAACCTGACTTCTTTACCAAAGAGGTCGAGGAGTTTCGAGGAGACTCGCCGATGGGTGGAATTCCTGACGTGAGTATGGGTGAAGATGCGTTGGGCGCTGCCTCTGCCTCCCCTGGGAGTTTGGATGGCGCGCTTGACGTGTCGGAGCCCGGATTTCACCTTAGCCCGGTAGAGCTCCTCGACCGAGAGCAGATCCTGGCGAACAACTGCCGGGCTTATGCGGAGGAAGTCGAAAGACTTGAAGCTCGAGTTGCCTCACTGGAGGCTCAAAACAAGAAACTCCTTGAAGATTTGAGTCGATGAGGAGATTGGCTGCTCCCTTCCTCCTTTTCTGGGGAGAAGGAAGCGCCCTCTCGAAAGAGGAAGTCGCGGCGGAAGCGGAGTGGGAGGGGCGGACTCCGAACCGGAAATTCCGGTGAGGGGACTGTCTCTGCGGTTCGGAGGACTCTATTTGAGTCCTCCTCTGATGTGGCTTTGCGGGAGGACCCACACCAGCAGCTAATAGCGCGGGTGGGTCTTCTATCGATGAGCGTCTTCTGGGGCGCTTGGGGGCCTGAGGCGGGCTGTAGAGTCCCTCAGGTCCTCACTGGAGTCTCGGGGGAGTGGGGCAGTTTTGCCTGCCTCTGCTCCCTCTACCAGCGAGGTTTCCCCTGTCCTCTCCATGCGTAGCGGGGGAGGGGGGTCGTGGCGGTAGATTGGCGGCCTGCTCTCCGGGGGCTGGGTTGCCTGCTTTGTCGGCGACTGTTATGGTTGCCGGTGGGTCGGGTGGCCTGGGTCCGGGGGGGCTCGGGCGTCGGGCCCGCGGCTGGCCCTGGGTTGGGTGCGCGTCGGGGCGGGTTCGAGCTGCGCGAGTTCCGAGTGGGTCGGCCGTACAACTCGTTTCTACGAGGGGCCGGTTCTACTCGGACATTTTGAAGGAGGCGAGGTCGGTCGCGCGTTGACCCCGAGGAGTTGGGCATTGGCCCGATGAAGATGAGGTTTGGTGTGACTGGGGGCCTGCTTTTGCAGGTCCCTGGAAAAGACACGGCTGTGAAGGCGGACCTGTTTGCAGGCAGATTGCGGGAGGTCTTCTCGGGAGGAGACGTGGTGGTCTCCCGCCCCCAGAAAACCATGGAGCTCAGGCTTCGTGGTACTATGGGGGAGGAGACTGCCTCGCGCGAGGAGATTTTGGAGGCGCTGGGGTCTCTGGGGGGATGCGGCGCGGGGATATCCGGATCGGGTCGATTCGGTCCCTGCCGCGGTCCCCCTTGAGCACCCTTTGGGTGCGTTGCCCGTTGGCTGTTGGCCGAAAGGCCTTGTCACGGGTAAACTCGTGTAGGCTGGAACACCCTGGAGGTCGAGGCACTTCGTGCCCGGCCTCTGAGGTGTTTCAGGTGCCTCAAGCTGGGGCATGCGCGGGTAAATTGTGCGTCTGACGCGGATCGCTGGCGGTGCTGTTACCGCTGTGGTGTCGAGGACACCAAGCGGCGGGGGCGTCGCCACTCCCCGTTGTCCGGCTTGCTCGGACGGTGGGGAGTCGGCTCGACATGTCCTGGGGGGTCGGGGATGCGTTTCGCTTCCCCCTCCCCCGGGCAACAAACAACCGGGGCGAAAGATAGGCGCCAGGCTCCGGGCCGTCCTGATGGGGGACGACCTTTGGAGATCGAGGCTGCTCAGCAGCTAAGTAGTGTTTCTTAAATGTTGTAGTTATGTCTTTACTAGGTAGCGGCGATGGTTTGGAGTGCCGGGGAGGTTGCTGAAAGGTGACTCCGCGGCCTCCTTGCCCGCGCCAGGTTCATGTTTGTCTTAGTTTCTCGTCTTTCGTCCATAGGTGGTGTGAACATCATGCACCACCTTTATATGTCTTTCGGCCTCTGTGCCTTCGCTGTTGGCCCCTAGAGGGCTGGGACTGTGGCCCTTATTTGGTTTCTTTGTGGACATGTATATGTCTGTATATATGTTTGTCCATATAGTTGGTGACGTCCTGTGACGTCTTAAATGTTATGTGGGGTGGGCGGCTGCGGCCGTCTCACTACACGGGTTCGGCAGGAGAAGGGTGGGGGCCCTGATCCCATTGCACGTCGACCCAGGGAAGTCCGGGGGGAGCTAGTAGCCCGGCTCCCTTCGATGCCCTTTCGGGGCAAGGGAATGTCCTCTCCGGGGGGATACCTGTAGTATCCTCTCGGGGGATGTGTCCTCTAAAGGACGCCGGTCGGGTGTCCACCGTGATGTAATGCATTAGCGGTTCCGCGGTGGACAACACCCATACGACCAGGGGCTTCAGTCAGGTTTTAGGTCGGTCCCCGTCCGATAGTCCTTCGGGATACTACGGGCGGGAATCCACCACAAAGCCTCCTGACCCTCCCTCAGAGGTCAGGACGGCGAAGTTTGGTTTAGGCAAATTTTCTGACTTAAAAAAAAAAAAAAAAAAAAAAAAACTGGCAGTTTAATGATCTTTATTTAATATTCACGACGTTTCGGCTCTTATCAAGTGCTAACACAACTTTCTACATAGTTAACTTAATTTCTAATTTAAAATGTGACATAATATAATGTGAAACAACTATTTTTACGTATAAGACGGGCAATAAGAGCCAAATTGCGGATGACAATGCGTTATCTTAACGAAACTAAATTACTTTTCGTTAGAATTAAATACCGGTGCACAAGGCATCAAATTTTACTTGGACACGGCCAAGATTTTAAATATGAAATAATCTCATTTGAGATTTAATTTCAATACTCCTTTAACCCCCTACGGAAAATAAAATTCGTTACGATAACGCATTGTCATCCGCGATTAGCTCTTATTGCCCGTCTTATACGTTAAATATATATTTATATTACACAGCCTTGTTAAACTCTTAAAAAAAATTAGCTATTTTGTTTCACATTAAAGCATGGCACTTTTTTTTTTTTTTTTTTTTTTTTAAGATTAGAAATTAAGTTTCTATATAAAAATGTTGTTTTAGCACTTGATAAAAGTCAAAACCATGGCCAAAACGTCGTAAAGATTAAATAAAGATCATTAAATAGTCAAAGTTAATTGATTAAATTAATACCATATGTAATATAGAAGAGTTAAATTTGGTCCTAACCATATTAATACATATGGTCCAACTTAGTTTTATCACAATACAATTAAAGTCAATAGAAAATCACCTCTCCTCTCAACACCTTTTTTTTTTTTTTAGTGGCTAGAAAAATCCGGTGCTAACCACTTTTTGTCGGTGCTAACCACTTTTTGTCCGGTGCTAACCACTTTTGTCCGGTGCTAACCACTTTTTGTCCGGTGCTAACCACTTTTTGTCCGGTGCTAACCACTTTTTGTCCGGTGCTAACCACTTTTTGTCGGTGCTAACCACTTTTGTCCGGTGCTAACCACTTTTTGTCCGGTGCTAACCACTTTTGTCCGGTGCTAACCACTTTTTGTCCGGTGCTAACCACTTTTTGTCCGGTGCTAACCACTTTTGTCCGGTGCTAACCACTTTTTGTCCGGTGCTAACCACTTTTTGTCCGGTGCTAACCACTTTTTGTCCGGTGCTAACCACTTTTTGTCGGTGCTAACCACTTTTTGTCCGGTGCTAACCACTTTTGTCCGGTGCTAACCACTTTTGTCCGTGTGCTAACCACTTTTTGTCGGTGCTAACCACTTTTTGTCCGGTGCTAACCACTTTTTGTCCGGTGCTAACCACTTTTGTCCGGTGCTAACCACTTTTGTCCGGTGCTAACCACTTTTTGTCCGGTTAGGTTAGGTTAGGTTTAGGTTGGTTAGGTTAGGTTAGGTTAGGTTAGGTTAGGTTAGGTCGGTTAGGTTAGGTTAGGTTAGGTTAGTTGAGTCCGTCGAGAGACTATGTCCTCGGTACACGTGTGCTAAGTACGCTCCGTATGTAGTACATATTAAAGTTAAGTTAAAGTGCGTTTGAGGTGCAAAAAACAGTTCTTGTCTTATTGTTTGTAGGGCCAAGACATCCAGCAAATGGAGACAAGGTTTAAACCAATTATTTACTGTTATAAGCCTCCAAAGTTTTCCGGTGCTACTGCCTGTCTAGTGATTTTTGACAGGGCTGACCACTTTTGTAGAAGTTAAAAACTTATTGAACGGATGTATTTTGTCCTGGATTATTTGTTGACATCGAACTTTATCGTATACATAATTTCAGGCGATTCTATAAAGTATTTAATGCTAAAGTGATTTTCTGTTAAGACGTTGATGTCTCTTCTTGCACCTATAGGACACGTACTATAGGCGCATATTGTGAATACTACACAGTTGTTAAATGTGGGAAAGTAATTTAACACATTTCTTTGCAATAAGTAGTGCCTGTGGAAAAATTTGCATTGTCAGAATTGCATAATTCTGTTTAAATCAGTTGTTTCAAACTTGACTGTCGCGGCTCTCTTGCTCCTATCGGATCTGGAGTAAAAGTTTACTTTTGCGTGTGATACAACGTTCCTACATGTGAATACATTTTAATGTATTGTTGCTGTCATTTGTCAACGATCAGTGAAATTTTGATAGTGGAAAC